ACTGGGGTGCAAGCCTGAGGAATGGACACCGGGGAACCGACTGAATTCAGCCACCGCGCTTCCGCTGGCAGCAGGCAGACGCCGGCGGAGACTCGGGGGAGGAAGTTTCAGAGAGAAGTCATCTTACGACGGAGGACGTGGCGATTTCCTCGGCACCTTTCGCGTAACAGAAAACAAACCATTGACTTCGTCAGCACGCGATAGCAATAAGGAGAGCTAATTAAGGACAGACCGTGGGGGGGAGCAAGAACTGACTTTATCAATGAGTTAAAAAAAGTGAGCTGAATCAAGCCTCTCATGTTGAAAGTTATTAAAGAGGAATTCGCCTCCGACATGCTGTGCTGTTGAACTTGACTTCTTTTTTTACATAAAAATGTAGCACTGTTTCCATTTCTGCCTCAGCCAAACTCTCACACAGTGAAGGACTGAGCACATTTGTATAAAAATCAGCGGGGTGTTTCCCTGCTTTAAAAATAATTGTTGCCTTTGTCGACGGCCATGGACTCCGGCTTGATCTGAACACGGAGCAGGAAGGACTGCTTAGCCCCCGCAGAGCTGCAGACTGGAGCCGATCCTGGTTCAAAGGGGAAGGGAATTCTCTGACGGGATGCCCCTAATGAATTTTCCAGTGGGCTGCTTCCGATCTGCGTGTGCTAATCGTCAATTAAGCCCACGATGGGTCGCGTTCAGTCGCGCACAAACAAGCGAACGCACTGTTCAGAAATATCAAACGTCAAAGGGCATTGACCTAAAATGAAACTGCGTTTCCAAGTCCAAAAACGGGCCTGTTGCTCTCATTAACTTGTCTCATTCGGTTCAGATATAAAATGTGTACACTTGAAATCATTAATAAAAATACAATCTAAGTCTCCTGTTACATAAAACCCAGATCTTGCAGTTTATTCCTGTGGGTGAAGTTTGTTTTATACCACCAGATGTGCTCCTTGCAAATGTCTTTACCTTATAAAGGTCATTTTGCAAAACTGTCAAAGATAAAATGTTAGTCATGACCCTTTAAGATTGATAGCAAAAAAATAATCCGTAAGATTATATTTGTGTTATTGAGAACTACGAAGGGCGCAGGTGACTGGCTAACGTGTACAGAGAAAGTGAGACTCACTGATCTCTTCTCCTTGCTTCGTTAATGTTGTTCCCAAGTTTTTGAGTTAATCTAGTCAAGTACAGTACAACACGAATCTCCATTAAAATCTAGCATCCCGGCCTGTGATATATAGTTACTTCGCTACAATTCAGAAAGCTATTTTATAATCGTTTTAAATCAATCTAAAACCTTACAATGTTTTTTTTGCTTTTCCATTAAGAAGAACTCTGCCCTTCTCCTCATTTACATGAGTTCAATACAATTATTGTATAGCCCTGTTATGCGAGGAAATTTAAAAACCGAGATGAAGCAATCAGTTCCTGCATTCTTACCAGACTCTTTTTCACCCTTTAGATTTATTCATGATCTTTAAGTTGCGTCTAAATGAGAAAGTTTTTCCTAGGCATAATGTTGCACTGAATGTCAGAAATCCTGTATCGTACATTTAGAAAATTCCTCCAGATCACATTACTTCCTTTTCGATTCTTTAATTCATGTATTTGCCATGAAGTGCATTCCGTTTTTGCTCCTGCTATAAAATAACGTTCTCAGCAAAGCGCGCACTTTGATTGGAAAGTGCCCGTTTTCTCTGTGTGTAATAGCCATCTTTGTGATTATGCGTTACAAATTGCCCTTTACTGTTCGAAAAGATTTCGTGCAGGTGGCAGGACCCGTCTGGAGGATTAAAAAGAGCAAAGCGATTTGAATCACTTTCTAAATAACATTTAAGCACCATCCAGGAAACATCCCAATTTATAATCCTTGAGATATATCATTATTGGGATAATACCGCAGATGAATTACTTTGCATACACTCGCCGTCAGAAGCTGACCCGGCACTATCCAGGATGACACCTTTCTGAAGCCTGAAGAATTCATTTTCATTTTCCAACTCAACACCTCTAATCAACATGCCTTATTGTGACAAAGAGTTCATTGTTGCTGTTCAAATTGCTGTTACTGCTGTGCTCCGCTATTAGAAATCAGGGACACAGTCAGTGAATGGGAACTTCGGGCTCGTAACATGAAATGTAAAATGAACTACATAAATTAAATCTATCATTATATAGGGGAAATTAATAACTTTGACAAATCACAATGTCATTTTTACACCTATTAAATGCGAGCTTGCTATAGCCAAGAAATGTGAATTAAGTTAATTGCAGATTTTTGCTTGATTCATTTGTGTCGTTGTTAATATGAGACCCGCAGATTGTAAACTATCGCCGAGGAAATAAAAACATTTATTTGGGGGAATAATGTGTATTTCATAGACTAAACTTTTATGAGTTATACCCGTAACACTGTCATGCTTTAACCAAGTGAGAGATGTTTTTCAATCAACAATCTTTTTCAAAGCCTGAAAAGAGCTTTGTTATAGTGTTTAAAAGAAGCTGTTTATTTCAACAAACTCTAAACGAACACACAATTTTCGCCACTGATTTCGGGTGTAATCAAAATACGCGTGTATTTTTGTGCTTGGTTTGCGAGAAACTAACGTTAAGGAAGAAAAGAAGATTAGTTTCACCTATATCTGGAACATCAGCACTGTTCTCAGCACACTGCTTTTCCCCAAGCCTAAAAATGCTTCTGGAGAAAGCAAATGTAGAAACACAAATATTAATACAGAGAGGAAACACGCGTCAACTACCAGCCACGCATCACTGTTCTATAAGGCAAAACACCACGGATGTGAGCCGGGGCTGTGTTAATGGTTAATATGGAAAAAGCCCAGCGATTCTTGGAAAAGTAATCACCACAGCCTTGTTACCAGGGACTGAATATGGGTCAACAGCTGCATTTTGGATGGGTATCACTTCTTAAATGATTTAGCACACTGAGCAGAGGACACGATGCAATTTCATACGTCAGTGACATTCAGAAACCAGTACCTGTCCAATTTTTATTCTGCACAGCTCGCTGTCATAATCACACAGCAAGACAAACATTATTCCTACTGGGAGAAATAAATGTCCCTGATATATTACAGAGATATAAAAATAATGCACGGGATTATATTTTGATACTAGTTGTTATTTACTCATACTTGTATAACACAAAACACCTGCCTCCCTTTCCAATGCAATCCTAGGATTAATCTTACTAAGACTTAATACATACAGATGGTCAAACAGGAAAAATTAGAAAAAAATATGAAATATTAATATATTCTTCTTGTATAATATGAAATATGATTCATCCACTAAAAGATTATAGCTTGATGTATTACTGTACTTAGGAAGGAGACAAAGTTAATTTCTTCCTAGGCCAAAATGTTATTGGCAAGATCCTAGGAATAATAATAATTCTTCTGAGAACCATATAAATTAAACTAAAGGCCTCTGTTCTCTTTGCATATTAATGGTGTAGGTTAGAGGAGTCACCCATTAACACAGTCACATTTTTTACACCGCAGATACAATACCAGAGTAACAAAACCCCTTGCATCTCAGTGTGACTGGCATCTAATTTTTTTCTTCTGAAAAGAAAAAAGGAGAATGCTCAAACTATATCTAGTAAGAATAAAAAAAATCAAATGGATGCATTTCAGCAATGCAGTGCATGAGCACTCTGTATCTTGTTCTTCTGTGGTCCTGAAAACTCTCCAACCGCAGTTCAAAAACCTAGAAATGCCACCGGGAATACATTTTATTTAAAAATTGTCCAAATTGTCAGCTGAAAGGAAAACCGATACTGTAATTTCGTGCAGTGATTCCCAGGTCTCAAGAGGGTTAAGGTGCCCCACTTCCTGACAGGGGTCTTTTTCAATATCCTGGAAATGTGCATTGCTTCAAGAGGTAGTTTGTTGTCTGGCACTTAAAAGCTAAAAAGCACAAGACCTCTAGGCAACAGGTCTACGTCGCAACAAGACCCAAGATCACAGGCCAGAGAAATGAGGAGAGGCAACACAGTAGTCCAGCAATCACATGACTAACTCAGGCTGACTTCCAGACCAGCACTGGTACTACCAGGGCTCTGCTACAATGTGCAGTGCTGTCAGCTACAATAACACTAGGGAGGGTTTCTTTGACAGTCCTATTTTGTCCCTCTTTGTCAATCAAATGTAGCAGAGAGTCAATAAGAAGCGCCAATACTTTTTGAGGAAGGTGAGTTGACTCTAGGGCATGTTTTCTTAACATGACTTCGACATAATGAAGCTGAAATATTCCCCTTGGTGTACAAGATCAGGTGGCAGAGATTATTCTTTTTTGGGGGAACACATTTAAACTCATGGGAGACCAAAGGCACTATAATAGCAACATTTATAAGCTGTACATAAGCATTTGGGATATGTGGAGCCACATTAAATCACAACCTCGACCTATCAGCTGAACATAAATCTCTAACCAAATAGTCTGTTTTTGTGTGATGAATCTTTTTGTCACTGATTAAGCTCCAGGAAGGCATTTATAAATTGAGAGGACACAGTTTCTCTTTTCCAAGGATAGAGAATTTTAAATATATATTGCATATGTGAAATGTTACGTTAAAGTATTAAAAGCCTGTGGTCAGAAACTGAAACATCTCATTATTTTATGTATTTGATCATTTCATTTTACTTACAGGATAAAAAATCTGGCCTGTTACGATCTGAAGACAGGAAATAAGTATTTATAGGGATCATTCCCTATGTAACTCACGGGGCTGCCATATTTAGGATTAAAAAAATTCCTCTTTCCAGGAAGTGGTTTAATAAAGTGACTGGTGGAGCTTGCTTTAAACACTTCACATTTCGGTAAAGAGATTTAAGTTTAAAAAAACAGCGTCAAGCTCATATTGAACCCAGCTGTTGAAACTTGGCATTTGATGTAAAGCGGATGTGCTATAGATACACATCAAATCAAATCAAATTTAGCCCACATTGTGTTCACGTCCAAAGCAGATTAGCAGTGCTTACCTGAATGTATTACACTATCCCTGAATCCCAGCAATCCAGCTCAGCCGCAAGACTCTGTAAGACATTAAAACAACCTGAGAGACAGGCAGCAGGTCAGAAAACACTTATTTACTCTGATGAACTCATCTAAGACTTAGGAGAGACAACATGCTATTAAGCTACAGCTTATGATTTTAATAAATTAGTGCCAGGCAGGTAATAAGGTGGACAGCAAGGACCATGTTTCCCAGACAAACTCCATTGTTTTCCACTTAGGATTCTGGCTCGAATGAAAAGGTCCAGAGAAAATCCCTCTCACAGAAATGAGGCCAGCAGGACCTGAAGTCCATATTTCAGAACGAACGACCAGCAGACAGGAAGTGCCATTTTTCTTACTATTGGCTCTAGAAAGAAAACATTCACAAGATTACAAATGAAAAATGTTGCCATCGTGTGCCAAATTAGGCTATCTTATTTTGGGTCACTAAATATGTAGCATTTTCATTAGGATGAATTTCATTAGGATTTAGACATGAGTACTGCATTTGGCTTTTGAACCTTATTATAATGGCTCTGCTCTCCTCCCCGCTGAGAGCTGGTGTGTGGTGAGCATTCTGGAGGTCTATGGCTGCTGTCGCATCATCCAGGTGGGGCTGCACATTGGTGGTGGTTGAGGGGATCCCCATTACCTGTAAAGCGCTTTGGCTTTCCCAGCAAAAGTGGAGTGTCCAGAAAAGCGCTATATAAGTGTAAGCAATTATTATTATTATTATTTAATTACTGATATATGGCCTTAAAAATCAATTTGGAACTTATTTCTTATTTTTAGGTCACGCCATAAGTGTCTAACAAGTGTCTTTTTCAGGGCCAAAGAAAAGTAGAAAGAATAATAAGAACAGGAACAGGAACAAGAACAAGAACAAGAACAGCATTCTCCCTTATGTATGTAGAAGTAAGGACGAGTTGTCTCCCTTATCTATCACATATACAATAAACCTATTACTTGTTCCTTTGCAGCCTACGCATGCTGATGCAGCTACCCACCTGAATAAATATTGATAGCCTCACCCTCAGTTTCCAAGAAGAAGATATTTTAGATATTGGTATTCATATCTAAAATAAAATAATAATACATTTTTTTTTACTATTGCCCAGAAATAACTCATAATCTGAACTACCTTAGATCTAATTGTGTAATTGGTTACTGAACAAACGAGGTGAAATTCAGCTGGGGTTCCTATAGAGAAATAAGTGTGTGAGGTTTTGTTACCGCTAGGAACAAATCCTGCATCCAGAGAAGAACAGCCCATTCAATGTAGGAGTGTGTTAAGAATTGGGGTCATGCATTTCTGTGATGAAGATAACATGATGGTAAACCACACTGAAATAAATGATTACTTTTATACAACCAGTTTCCACAAAGCCATAAAATGTAATGATTTTTCTAAGGTTTTTCTTTAATTCCTGGAAATTCCTAATACAAAATGAGCTATCATGTGAAGGGTAATCAGATATTGTGAGAATCCACTTCAATATTTCAAGGTAGCTAAATGCAATAGTCTGGAGTACATACAGTATATAGTCTGGAATATATATATATATATTTCATGCCAGCATGTTTAAATAGTTCAAGATACTCTACCTTGAAACTACCAAGTACAAGATGTCTTATCTACATAAGACATCTTGAAATATAATCAAATTTTAGGTATAATGACTGAAACAGCATATACTGTAAGTCACATTTACTCCACTTCATTTTTATACATTGGGTTTTTAAACTGTGGATCAATTCAACTTCTATATATTTCCAATACATACTTTTACTATATATGACATATTTACTTTTTAGATAAGTAAAAGAACAAACCTATCTAAAAAAATGCTACTGCTTTTATCCAGAATAAAAATCTTATTTTTAAAAAAAAGATTTTGGCTCCATCTTAGACTGAAAACCATTCCTACCTATTGCTTATGCGATTTGAACTCCATCCAAGCATTTCATTTATTTTCCCATTCAAACTAAGGACGTTATAAATACCAATGCATTCAGATACAGTAATGGTGCTAAACGAATTCACGAACAAAAGCACATTTACTTTGCATTTCCAGTGCGCTGCCACTGTGTGGTGCCACCAAATTAAACTGCAAGTGCATCTTATAAGACGCACAAATCATTTACATGCTGTTCTCATCAAAAGCATTTCTTTTCATTCCCTCCGAGATTTTCTGCTGATCTGAGTTTCCAATTGCATTTTGAAGTACTACAGCTAACCTTTTCAATTGCCAAGAATGTGATTAATTTTTTAAATACAGCTGTTGACCTATTATTGAGAGAACGGAGCAGTGCCACAGGAGACATGAATCTCTTCATAGAGTAGAATGGAACTAGTTATTTCATCTGTGTTTACAACCTGACATTATAAGAAATCCAAAAACATAAATAACAAATAATTCGGCTAATCTTGTTTTGGGGCAGCATTCTTATGCAAATGTCACTCAAAACTTGTGCTTCCAAAGCTAAAATCGTCTGCTGCCTCTTCTCTTTCTCTGTCACTTCAGAGAAATAAGATACACCACAATCTAGTATTGTACCACGAATTACAATGTACAGCTAATGTTGTGTTTGCCCAGATTCCTAATGCACTAATAAATAAAATATGCTAAAGATAATGGATTTATGTTCAATATTTTATCATTACATTAGTGAAGGGTGATATAATATGCATCATGCCAACTGGTAACAAACTACTTAGGAAATGTAAGTTAATTTTTTAAATGATTTATTAGTGGAGATAATGCAGCCCGTCTTTCTTTAGCAATTTCCATTCTGTATTTTCTGTCATGCGTTATTGCACACTTCTTGTTAAACCTGCTGGCATTAAAAAACTGTACGACATAATGGCTAATTACCATAAATGATGCTTTGCTTTGGCTGTCGCTGTGCTAACACACTCTATCTCCCCTTGCAGGTGGCGCGGCTCATGGCATGTCACTCCAGAGTTTAAACACTCACACCTGCTGTGCTTTTGCACCGTTTCTACTGAACATATTGCACTCATATAGGAGACCTGCTGTGATTTACATAGCATTCCCAGGGACTCAGCGTCCTGAATCCAGCCCTGCTAGAGAGTGAAGCAGCAGACACTGGGTGGCGTCATTATGCAGTATTAGCCTGGTTTGTCCTTATTTTCATTCTTTCCCCCCATTGCTAATACTTGTGTAATTTTACAGCTGATGATCTGGTAATGTTCTCTGAAATGGTGGTTTAACTCCGCAGGCTGTCCTGTGTGCCACAGCTTGATAAACCAGGCTGCATCTCACTCGCAATGGATGGGCAGAGAAAAGGAGAAACAACATCCAGTGCTGTTCCCAGCATTCCCAAAAATACCCATCATACCCTAGGGAAAATACCCATCAAAGCACTGGAGACCAGACCATTCGCCTGGGTATCAAGCCTCTCCTATCTCCCCACTGTGCGATCACTACACAGTACAGGACCAGGCAGAGCTGGGATACATGGTCACCCATCAGTGCTCAATCGTCCTGTGAATGGAGCACTTCAAACTGCAGGCAAGAGCAAAACAGAAGGGTATAGTGTAGTGGGGAAGAGGGGTTTGCAGACAGTGATTAGACTGAGCTTGTAAAATCCAGGTGTGGATGGGCATCTAAGGGCTGACCAGTCAAAGCTCTTGGACAATGACTGCAGAGTAGGTCTGGGTTTAACTGCGAGAAGCTGGCTAGAAGCAGAGTCACACACACACAGAAGCACACACACTCCAGAGCATGTAAGTCAAGCCTATCTAAAAGATTCCAGGCAGTCAGCAAAACAGAATAAAGGAACAATTTACATGCAAATCAAAGTTTACCATTTCAATCTCTTTATGTCTGTTCTCTGTAAATTTACATTCATATCCACACAGACATTCACTTAGCGGGAATCAACTTTATACATTCTAACATTTTCAATTTTAAATGAAAGTATAGATGTACATTTAATCTGCAGCTGGCCTAGCTGCTCTCTAAAATCAAGAGAGATTGTTCTGTGTCAGTTGAAGGAAACAACAGCATGTATCACAGCATGAAATAAAGCTATTCTCTGCAGTGACAAGTCTAGGATATTATAGTCAAATAGATATTACATTTATTTTGAAGTTGCAACAGCCTGCTATAAAAAATTAACTGTTCTCTAAGTCAGATTGGGAATTAGGTCTTTGAGAGATACTGCACAATCTTGTGTTGCAGTCATTCATCTTCCAATTCTTTCTTATTTCCATGCTTTTCTTATTAAAAGCTCACATCAATATTTTATCAAGATTAATCCTCCATAATAAAAGAAAAAGAAGACAAGGGGAGTCCAATCTGATTTTTTTTCTACCTCAATAGATTCATAAACTGAACAGTAAATACAACAGTAAATGTCATATTCTACCACAGGAGGGCAGTGTGTTAGATCTGGCTAGCTCTCTTGATCAGAGTTTATTTCCAGCATTCACTTTCTGAATCTATTGACTTATTTTCGGGCATTTGCCCTGTAACTCTCACCACAGCTGGATAATACCTCATTTTTGGGATGTTCTGTGAGCATATTAGACATTTAAAGAATTGATTAAATCAGCTTTCAGGTGAAGAAGCTCTATTTGATCAGCCCAGTGCGGTGGGGATTATACTAAAGCAATTACTGTGGAGCATAAAGACATAAAGCTGTTATGGCGGCAAAGTGGCCAACATTGCTGCCTTGCAGTGCTGCGGCTCTGGGTTCAATATCTAGGATGCTGTCTGTGTGGAGTTTGCATGTTCTCACCTTGTTCGTGTGGGCTT